TCAGATGTTTTTAAAGTAGCTCAAGTCATTCCAATTTATAAAGCAGGCTCCTTACTAGACTTTTCTAACTATTGACCCATTTCCCTTCTTTCCAACCTAAGCAAACTTTTTGAGAAGGCTATGCATAACAGACTATACAAGTTTCTAGATAAATTTAAATGCTTGTACCAACATCAATATGGATTTTGAAGCAAACATTCTACAACCCTTGCACTTATTGAAATTACTGAGAAGATTAGAAGAGCTCTAGATAATAAACACTTTGCATGTGGGGTGTTTGTAGATTTGCAGAAAGCTTTTGATACACTCCATCCTTCTCACAAAATTAGAATACTACGGAATCAGAGGCATCCCACTAAAATGGTTTACTTCATATCTCAAAAATAGAACACAGTTTGTTTCCATTAATAGCACTAAATCTGATTTACAGAATTGCTCAAATGGCGTCCCACAAGGTTCAGTTTTAGGACCACTTCTTTTTCTTCTTTTTATTAATGACTTGAATACTTCTTTTAAATTTGCAACTGCTTACCATTTTGCTGATGATAATAACATGCTACTGGTTGACAAATCACTTAGAAAAAATCAACAAACAGATTAATCATGATCTTGGAAATTATGTTCAGTGGCTTCGTTCTAATAAACTTTCTCTCAATTCTAACAAAACATAGCTTATCATCTTTAAATCCAATCTGGCACCAATTGCATTAGATCTGGCAGATCTAATGGAATGCTAGCCAAAGTCCGCCATTATGTAAATCTAGAAACTCTGCTAAATATATATCATGCTATATTTGGGTCCCATCTAAGATATGCATGTCAATTATGGGGACAATCCCATAAACAAATCATTTTAAAGTTGTCCCATCTCCAAAATAAAGCCTTGAAAATAATATATTTTCAGTATAATAACTCTAAATCTAATGTACTAAAAATAAGCGACCTTGTGGTATTCCTCAAATGTCTATTTGTCTGGAATTATCACCACAAAAACTTTCCCCTATCGTTCAACAATTTCTTTTCAAGTACAATTTGTCACTATCCTCTTCGCTCCATCAGTAGCTTAAACTTAGTTATTCCGAAACACCAATCTGCTAAATATGGAAATAAATCCATTAAATATCAATGTATTATCTCATGGAACAAACTACCTCCTGATCTAAAATCTCTTAATTCAATCTCTGAATTCAAAATCAAGCTTTTTAATTATCTGTTAAAAAAATACAATTAGATATTTCTACAAACTAATATTGACATTCTTTACTATATATGTCAATTCGTAATCCTTCAGTTTTTAATTTGATATTTTTAACATTTTGAAATTCTCTACTTATCTATTTACATCTAATTCCTCTGGTTTATCTGCCATTTTTAAACTTTATTATTAAACTATCCATACTAATATCATTAATTTTAGTACCAATGGGTTGGCATTCTTTATTTATCTATCTGTTTATCTCTTTTCATTCAACAATTCTCTATTTCTCAATTATTCTACTTCGCACTAAATCTTTGTTGTTGCCATCACTCTTTACTAAATTTTTGTTGCTGCTGTTATTGTCTTTATTTATGAAATTCTTCTCTTATTATAATTGTTATTATTTCGTTACTATTATTATTATTATTGTTATAATTATTATTATTGTTGTTGTTGTTGCTATTATTGTTCTTATCACAATCATTGTTATTATTGTTATTATTATTTACATTATTATTATTAGTATTATTGATATCAGTTATTATTACTTTTACTATTTTCATCATTGTCTATATTGTTATGTTGTATATTCAGGTATTTACTTTATAATACTTGTACTATTATAAGTTTCCTTAAAATGTAATAACTTATTTCGAAATATATTTGATTTCAACTTTTATGTATTGTTGATAAAGTTTTTTGCTTTGGGCTGTTTTGACGGCTTTGCGAGCAAATAGATAGCTCTCTTCCGATAGCAATAAATAGATAGCTCTCTTCCGAGCAAATAGATAGCAAAGTCAGAAAATGTCGAGTCTTTTACAAAACCCGTCTGACTCCTTTTTTTAAAATAAAATGAAATAATTTTTTTGCTACGAGTTAGTTTGGAAGTCCACCAGGTGTTCTTTAAGAGTCCTTGCTCAACTGTTAGTAATAGCAACATAGGTTTGAGTAAGGTCATTTTCAAAATTAACAATTAGGTTAAGATTAACGAAACAGGTATTTAAATAATTAATATATTAGTTTAAAAAGTCAGCATTATTCTAAACATATCTAAGATTTCTAACATCTCCTTTTAATTTATTTATGTTTTTCTTGAAGATTTTGATCTTGAAGTTAATTAAAATCGATAGTGATCACTAACTTTTTGAAGGAAAGGAGGGATAACAACGCGTTTATAATAGAAAAGCGATGCGTACTTTGAAATAGCTTATGATCAATGTAAGATGAGTTTGGTAAGATGTCAATATGTGACTGTGAGGCCAGAACCTTTAGCTACGTCTAATTCTAATTCATTTTATTCAATAAATTCCGATAAATTCCGAGATAAAGTTTCTCTTGGGGCTAGATCGCTTTAGTAGATCGTATATTCCGTTAGGAAATGATTGAAAATCTCCAAGTATAATTACTTTGCCACAACCCTAATGACTATTCATAATTTTTTTAAGTATATCTAATTAAGTTGAATATGTTTTCAATGACGTTTTATTATTATTTTTTTTAAATTTTATTGGAAATATATTATTATCTTCGTAAAGAAATATGATGATTCGAAGATCGATCGTGTTCGTGTTTATTTACCAGGCTGAAAAATAATAATTGGGAGTTTTACCAAAATTTTTAATTATAGAATATATTTAAGTTTCGTTAAATTTAATATTTGATTTAAGTCAATTAAAAGTAAAATTGATATTTAAAAAATGGCAATTAAAAGTACACAGACTGAACGTTTTTAAAAGTTTTCTTTATTTAATGTGGTGTTTGAAGCCATTTTGATTATTAAATTTTTTTTCTGATTCACGTTAGATTCTAAATGTTTTTGTATATGCGTTTTTTCCGAAACGGTTTTATAATTATATTATTATTCTATATAGAATGGTTGAATATTTTATCATTTTCTGAATTATTTACAGAGACTCTGTATGATTTATTATATTCATTTTCTCTGTTTAAGGTAATCGATATAGACGGTATGCCTAATTCCGCTTCCATAGACGGTTTAAGATCGTCTTCGTTGATTTGGTTGCTTACGCCACCTATATAAACTTCAAACTTACGGATTTTATTACCGTCAACTGGGGTGAATATGAACGCTTTTGATACATTTTTGTATCATCGAAGAAAACTGTGGGCCTAACCGCTACCCTTTTTTTTGTAACAGAACATTATACTTTCTAGCTTCCTGGAACATTCCTAGGCCTGATCAGCACTATGCAGTAAGTACCTTAACTTTTTGGTTTTATATGACATTTCCAAAATGTGGTGAAAATGAACAGCCGATTCGGGATGACTTTGAACAATACATAATATTTTAATTTTTTATTTTGTGCGTCTTAAAAGTTGCTCAAAGTCCGTTAATTAAAGTTTTTAGCCTCAAAGTATTATTTAACTTGTTTAATGTGTTATTTTTGGAAACTGTGAAAGTATAATAAAATAAAATGTTGCCTGTACTTTGTTTAATATTCCTAGCTAACTTTTTTTTCTTTTTTAACTTCGAATCATAGTTCCTAAAGTTTGCAGAAGAAAACTTAGATTATTTGTAGAAAATGTGATTTTTAAATGACCATAAAATCTGAAAAAGACAAGTTACACCATATATTATAGTTTTAATAGAGCAATATGTATTTGAACTTGATGTACGTTAGTTTTTATAAAGTTCTGATAGGCGGTTCTTAAGATATTTAGTTTAATTGCCCAAACCACAGAACCACTATTTGAGACTTACATGAGATGTTTAAAGTAGGTGAAAAATTAATTTTTTAAAGGCAGCTAAAAATTAAATTCTTCATATTATATCTAAGTCATCTGAATCAAAATAACACACTATTTAGTTATATCGTGCGTTATCCTTCACCATTTAGCAAACTTGGTATTGATGTTCATTTTCACCCCGTTGTTCCAGTTGACGCTACTATTTATTACTATTACCGGTGTAGTATGAGATTTTTACTCCCATTATTTTTTTACTCCCCTAAAAAAATTTTATATGAAATTTGTGCCGCGGAGTAAAAAATGCGTATGAAATTTTTACTCCCTTTATGAGATTTTTACTCTCATTAGATATTTTTACCGTTATGTTAATATAGTGCTTAATTAATATATTTTATAAAAGTTAAGCTTTTAATAAACTTTTTTAACTTAATTTATTTTCTACATTTTAGTGGGAGTAAAATTTCTTATATTATTTTAAATAAACGGTGAAAATATAAATTTTACAGATAATCTTTTTTAAACTTAAAGATCATAGAATATGCAAGTACTTGTTTGATCAAAATGTGTACTTGTTTTATTAAAAAATGAAGGGGAATATCCAAAATTGTTTTATTTTACTATTAGGCTATGGTACTTGTTGCAAACTTGTTAGAAAAGGAGTTTTCTAAACAACAAGTTTACCTTGCTAACCTGCAGAATCTGAAAATCGCAGCTTTTTATTTCTTTCTGACTTTTTTTATTTAACAATTCACATCTGCAAAAAAAAAAAAAAATTTATCGCAGATTACCCTATGTATCAGATAGGGTTAAGATTTTTTTTTTAATTAAACACATATTGTTATATAGGTTTATTTCTGGATTCTTTGCTTTCGCTTTACTAATGTGGAATCAGTCAGGCATATGAAAAAGTATTGCCACCAAATTTAAAAAGACAAACATTTTTATTCCTTCTCCTACATACCGTAGTAAATTCGCTTATTTTTACGTTTTTAAAACATTTGTTTACAGACTTAAAATAAAAATATATTAAAAAAATGTCTAAAAATTATGAAAAGAAGATAATTTATAAATTTTTTTTTTTTTTGATAATTTTTTACAACAGTACAACATTAAAGTGACCTGCAGTTGAATTGTCAAGGAATATAGCATGTTCACTAAGCTGTGTAAGTGTTAAACTACATGGGTAAGTCAGCCATTTCAACTTCTCTCCATATTTGCTATATACTTTTATATCAATACCCATGAACGAGGCACACCCAATTATTTCTGCATCAGTTGCCCAAGTTGTGTTATCACTCATACCACTTTCATTTAGATACGTTATTATTGATTGATTCATATATAAAGTCATTTCATTATTAATATGAGTACACATATGTTTAACAACTTTTTTTCTTATAATTTCATAACTGCATTCACTGCCTGTAATGATATACGATATTGCCCTAAAAAAGCAATTACCATCACCTATGGTTTTGTGAATTTGTTTCGGACGTGAAAGTAGATTAACATCTGCAATAAAAATATTTTTGGTAATACCAATTCCAAATTTTTCAGAAATAGAAGTTCTCATTTCAATAGTTGCATATTTTCCGATCTTATCATTAGAAATTTGCATATTAATTTCATCAAATGTGATTTCTTGTTCATCATTAGTTATTTTTTCATTATATAAACATAACTTTGTCAAGTTGTACTTTGTTTTCAAAATTTGACCTTTTAGATTTTTCAAAGTGCAGTTATTTGTGCTAGAAATAGAAGTTACAATGTATGGTCCAGTCCAAGGCTTTACAAGTTTACCACCTTTTCTATCATCACGTCTGCTATTTCTTAGTAACACTTTTTTATTTATGCTAATTTCATTATTTGGTGCGATTCTCTTGTCGTAATCATGTTTTTGTCTTTTTTGAGATTTTTCAATATTTTTATAAGCATCGTCAAAAATTTTATTCTTCATTTTATTCATTGCATGAAAGGTATCTGAAACTATTTTTTTGTTAGAGAAATCATCATTGCTAAGAGCGTTACTATCATTAAAGTCAATTAAATTGCAATCTATATCAATAGGAAGAACTGCTTCCCTTTGGTAAAGCAATGCCAACGGTGAAAACCCAGTAGATTTGTGCTTTCTAACTCTTAAAGAAAACAAAACACTATCAATAATGTATGGCCATTCCAAAGCAGCCTCATCAAGCACTTTTACTAATATACGTTTAATTGTTTGATTTTGTCTCTCTACTAATCCATTAGCTTGAGGATGATATGCACTTGTAATTCTTTAAATTGTTCCTGTTTTTGAGTAAAGTTTTTTAGAAATTTCATTTACAAACTCACGACCTTGGTCATTTATTTGAATTTCAAAACAGCCATGTCGACAAATCTGTTTATACAAAAAAAAAGCCACAGCTTTAGCTTCAACCCATTTACTGAAGTAGTCGATTAATACAACTAGATATTTGCAACCGTTAACTTCTGGTAGCTGTGTTAAATAGATTCCTACCTGCTTCATATTGCCTTTAGGAATTGAAATATTTTGCAGCAATGGTTTCGACTGAAGTTTTCTGTTCTTTGACTTTTGGCATTGGTCACATTTGGAAACATAAGTTGTAATATCTTTTATTATTCCATACCAGAAAAATCTACTTTAAATTTGATAGGTTGTGTTATTAATACCTGTATGACCAGATAAAGCTTTAGACTCAACAGAGACATCGTTTCCTTCATGAACAAACTTCATTATGTTTTGTTGTTCATCTCTACTCCAAATAACTTTTCTCTATAAAAAAAAGAAGCTGTAAACCATCAATATAATGAGAATCAAAACTAAATTAATTTTCATTATTTATTAAATAAATTATTTGTAAATATTCGTGTTTATTTGGTGACTAGATTCTAGTTGCAAAATGGCAAAACTATTAAAACATTTTGAAATAATAGCATACCTTTGCAGCTTTATTTAAATGATATAACTCATTATTATCAACTATAAATGGCTTAGTTTGTCTTCTAAAATTGGCTTTATCGCCTTTATTTAAAACTTCTTTTGGATATATTTGGTATTTTAAGTAACTAAAAATGTCTGCAAATCTAGAGTGCATGTTTTATTGATATGCAATTCCGCTAATAACAACTTGAGAGTAAAAATAAAATAGTGAGAGTAAAAATCTCATATGCTTTTTTTTACTCCGCGGTAAAAACTTCATATGATATTTTTACTGGGGAGTAAAAAAACACGGGAGTAAAAATCTCATACTACACCGACAATAATTTTATCATCCGGAACTTTTGTTCCTAATAAAGGCCACTGATCTCTATAATAACTGGATAGCGCATCTCCTAATAAAATTTCGAAATTTTTGAAGCCAAAAGACGCCATATTGGAAAGCCCCAGAATTTATAAATCCGTAGTTGCGTTAAACTTATATGCGCTTAAAACACAGATTTCGCTTGATAAATAAAAAATGCAAAAACCTTATAAATGCATTGATTATTAAAAACCGAGTAAATCTGATGTTATATGTTCAGATTATTTCATGGAGAGTGACATAAATATATATATATATATATATATATATATATATATATATATATATATATATATATATATATATATATATATATATATATATATATATATATAAATTATGTATACAGGGTGGCCAGCCACTTTCAAGAATTAAATTCCCTGACTTTTTTATATTTTTCCCTGACTCAGTTATATTTTGAAGTGTGAATTTTTAAGTTTTGTTGTTTGGGAGTAAGTAAAAAAAAAACCTTTAAAAAAAATTAAATTTTCAAAAAAGACATTTTCCCCTGATTTTCCTGACTAGAAAAAAACTCCCTGACTTTTCCTTGATTTCCAGTTAGCTGGCCACCCTGGTATAATATTATTATAATAGCATGCAAGTGTATATTAGTATGCACCTTTTGATTCTTAATTGCCCTCTGCAAAATGCCTGAGGCTTGTAACATATTTGCAAGGTAAACAGCTTACAAGTTTGCTGTATGAATCATTAGTTAGGCAATGTGATTGTAACACAACCTAAAGGTTCCTTAGGCAACATATAGCAAATCTTTATATTTACTTTTAATAATTTTGTTCTTGCGTGTATATATATATATATATATATATATATATATATATATATATATATATATATATATATATATAAATTAACTTAACGCTTAACTGTCGAAAAATACTTTCAAGACATTTTTGTAAATGCCATTAGACATTTTCACAACACCAGAACATTTGTATAAGATTACAAAAGAATATGTTAAAGTAAAAAAATTATAAATAAAATAATAGTTAGCTCTATCATCTTGAACAAAATAATCATTGAATAACTTGTATAAGCATTGAATAACAAAATAAACATTGAATAAAAAGGTATTATGTGGTAGGGAAAAGTAAAAAAGTATGTACACTTAGAAAAAAAATTGTTCACCTTTCATTTTGGTCTTTTATGTTGCTTATTTGTTTTCACAAGAGATATTTTAAATATTTATTAATTATACAACTAATATTTATCAGTATAAAACTGATAGATGTTAGCTGAATCATTATTATTTTACTTTAGAGTCAATAGTTGTAAAAAAACTTGAAAGAACCATGTCTGTTTTCATTTATACCATATTTACATATAAACAATCAACATGTATGTGATGCTGTTATTTAGACTAAAACACAAAATACTTTAATGTAAAACTGCAAATAACTAGTTATCACTAAATATCTAGTGTTTTTTAAAGTTAGAGATGGCTTTTTCAAACCTTCACAAAGTGTAATTAAAGTTAGCAAAGCAACAGAACAAAACATTGTTATTAAGTGATATCAATTTTAATAAAGTATTGCATAGTTGATGATATTTCAGTTGTGGAACAATATAAACATGCCCTCAGAGTTTCAAAAATTAGAAAACCATTTACAAAAATGTTTGATACAATGTTTTTATCATGTTTTATACTTGTAAAGTTACTTTCCAGCTACTATTGCTAAGTAAGGTCGCATCAAGTTGTTAAAATAAACACCCAAAAGTAACCAGATCAAATATCAATTTGTCTTTTAGAAAAGTTTTATTTAGAATATCATGAATTCAATAAATTTAACAAGTTCATAGAAAGCAATACAAATTTTATTATTTCTTTATAGCGATATTTCTCTTCGTCGTTAATGTTCTGCGTGTTTTTGATTCCCTTTTATAATTTTTACACCTTCAAACATTTTAAATATAATAATATCATTGAAATATGTGACTTGGTCGAGTAGATATAAACGAAGTAAAAAGGTACATCTTCAAGCGCAATCACTGTATTTTCGGTTTTCTGGGGCTTTCCAATATGGCGGCCGTACAAAATACTGGCTTCACTTTTGATATTAGAGATGCGCTATCCAGTTATTATAGAGATCAGTGATAAAGGCTAGGTTTTTGTTTAAATCGCGATATATTTTACACGGAAACAAAATATTAGTTCACGCTTATCGAATAAAAAAAAGTTTTTGGAGAATCTGTAATTAATCAACTTCTAAATTACAAAATGATATCTCTTTCGGATAAAGAAAAGTGGTCAGGTATACATGACTTGAACTTTAGGGAATGTATCTTTATATGTAGATTCCAATATTTTCCAAATAAAGTGATTATATTATCATTGATTCGTTTTTTAAAATTCTCGTTGATTTTTGCCAATTTTTGAATTTACAAAAAGAAAACAAAATTACTTATGAGCAAATTGTAGTTTAAAGTTTTACAAAAAAAAAATAAATGCAATCGATTATCCTTCTAAGACTTTTACTTGTAGATTTTTGTTTTATTTTAGAAAAAGAAAAAAAAAAAAAAAAGAAAAAGAACACCCTTTTTTTTGCACTTGTGTTGACAAATGTAAAAAGAAAAGGTTCCGTCAAGGGGGGTAACTATGCATAGTCATGTATGAACGCTTCATATATGTTCATATATACGTTCATATATGAACGTTTTTTAAACATTTTTGCATCATATAACAAAATAGTTAGCCTAATCGCTACCTTTTTTTTTTAACCGAACATTATACTATTCAGCTTCCTGAATTGTTTCTAGGCCTGATAAACATTATACAGTAAATACCTTAATTTTCTTGAACAGCTGATTCGGGGTGACTTTTGAACACGACATAATGTTCTTATTTTTTCGATCATAGATAGACTAATATATTGTGAGGGGGAAAAATACTGTCAAAGATCAAACAGATAACAGAAAGTGTATTTAAATACGTTGTAGAATCTATTAGTTCAAATCAATTCATATGAAAAAAATTACATACTAAGTTTAAAACCTAGTTTTTTCAACACATTACTATATATTACAATATTTACAAAGCTGCCTTACATAAAATAGATCATTAATCATTACTATCCTCTAAGTGCTTACATGGCTCACACATGCTGTATATAAAGTCAATTTTTTCAATATCAAGCTCGTAATAGTCATCTTTTTCATAGAAAAGGCCACAACACTGAAGGTGATAAGGTTTGCTGCATTTGTCGCATTAAATCCACATGTCGTCCCTTAACTCCACACATTTTTTGTTACAGAAAACACAGTACTAATTACTATCTTTGTTGTTTAGCTCTGTTGAACTTGATGCCATTGACTCATCTAAATAAAGAACTCATTTTCCTGGTTCAACCTTTGGACCCCTTTTTTTGTTTGTTTTGCAAATGGATTTGTGCCTAAGCCTAGATTGTTCTTCAGAATATCTAAAACGGATTCGTTAAGAACCATTATAGTGTCTTCACCACCAGGGTCTTTTTTTTCCTGGAAGACATTTTATCACCTTTGTTTTGTTTATTGGGTAAATTCCTGTTGTTTGAAATCCGGAAATTAAAGCTTCTGGTTGCAAAGTGTTAACTAACTTTTTTAAAAGCGTAGGCATGTGTTCTTTTGGAATAGCCCCTTTGATACAACTTTCTATTCTACATATTTCTATATTCTATATCCTCTAAGTAAAGTTGTTGGCAGAGGTGCGTTGCATTAGGTGGCATTGTTATAAATTTGATGTCATGTTGAATCATGGCTTCAATAACTTCGGGAGAAAAATGTGAACCCAGATTATCCCCAATCAGCAATGTTGTTCAGGTTTTTAAAACAGCTATAGGCAAGAATCTCTCCATGAACCATCTAGTAAATGTTCTACCATCAAACCACCCATTAGTGGTGATATCCTATACAGTTCTAGGTGGTCTACCATGAGTCCAACCCTGGTAGAGATTCTTTCTTTTTTAAATAGCTTACCAGCAAACATTATACTAGTTGGTTGCTTTGAATATTCTTGTTTGTTTTCAACACTCTGCTCATGGCCACAATGAACAATAACAGCTTTGGACCCTGGATTATCTGTTATATTGGTCTCGCCATAGTTATAGATGTTTTCTGTCAGCAAGCCTTTTTCGTCAAACAATCTACACCAACCCTTTTTGTCAAACAACCTGATCCACACCAGTCATATTATTTTCAAATATTAGTCAGACTTTAATCAGTCTTCCATAAATGTGTTACTTAAGTACATACATATACTGATATTTTAGGTAAGCAATTTCTACATATGTAGGATATTTTTTACTTTTTGTTTCCTTTATTGCCTTAAAAAGTATCTAGAATAAGGCCAAGATTTTAAAATGAATGTAAACAATAAGTAAAAAATTTATTAATCAAACTTATGTAAAACATTGCTTAATTAAATTGTATAGCAAGTATGAAAATGAAGCCATATATGCAGCACAGTTGATCATATGGCTTTTATTTATTCAGATTTTCATTGAATCTCTTTAACAAATGTTGTAGTTTCTATATTAAATATATTAAATGCAACACCAGACAGTGTTGCAGTTATTTATTTTGCCATAAACAAACTGTGTGGCACTTCGAGAAAAAATCTGAATGAGTGGTACTAATATTTGTACAGTCAACAGGGACTATGAATAGCGGGGTGACTATGAATAGTGGGGCGACTATGAATAGCGGGGTAACTATGAATAGCTGGGTGACTATGAATAGAGGGGTGACTATGAACATTAGTACCAAATTAACTAAAAGGTGAAACAACATTAAATATAATATTTGGAAGCTAACTTTAGGCTGCGCAAAATATTTCCCTTTTTCAGTTTTTCTTTATCGCATATTAAGAGCATGAGTTATATTGTTTAGGCAGTTAGTTGACTTATCAAGCTATATCTTAGTGTGTATCAAAACACTATAAAAGTTGCTACACATTAAGTTCAGGTACATAATATTCTAATGAAATCAAAATTGAGAGTGTAGCTTATTTGTTAATGATTATTTACTCATTTAAAAATTACATTTTTAATCCAGAATTCAAGTTTTTTTATTTATTAATATAATGAACTATGCCTCAAAATTACAAAAGAAAGGAAAATAGCCAAGGTTACAAAACAAATTACACTTAAAAAGACTTACAAACAGCAGTAAATAAAGTGAAAAACCACGGATTTACTATCAGGAAATCGGCTAAACCTTATAACATTCTGCTAGAAACTCTCCATAAAAGCGTAAAACTTGGGAATTAAGTTCTAAAAAAGCATATCGGACACACCAGACTGGACAGTTCTACAGAAAATCTAATTGTTCAAACAATTACTTATATGACAGATAGGAGGGTACCTTTTGATTTTAAACTTAACAAGATTTTAATGTGAAAAAAAGTTCTCTCTCGACTTATTCTAACCTTATCTGACTTATTTACTTTAGCATTGCTTGTATTTTTGCGGTATTGTTGTTTAGCTTTGTTTTGGTGCAAATTCTTGAAACGCATAATAATAAAACGTGGTCAGTTAGTCAGAAAAATTTATTCTATGCATGGGCAAGTTAGGTGTGCGGTCGCACGCCTTTCCTGGGAAAGTCTGATATATATATATATATATATATATATATATATATATATATATATATATATATATATATATATATATATATATATATATATATATATATATATATATATATATATATATATATATATATATATATATAACCCAACTAAAACAAAACTCATCAAACTAAAATGCTTAGTATATTTAATTTACGCATTAAAAAACCATTACATTCTTTGTTTTAACATTTGTACTTTTTTTTTTTTTAAATATGTTTCAAAAGATTTACATTGCATGCTCTGTACTCTGTCACCATTGGAATGTTAGCTTTTTCATAAAAAGAAATAACTTGTTGCAGTACTATCTTTGATACCATAAATTGAGATGATGCAACAAGAGACTCAAGTCGCTGACTGTGCAATTCTAATTGCAGGGTTACATCATGCATCTCAAAACTTGTAAATAAGTTGGATTTCAGCAACCAGTGGTTGTTGCATCATCAAAGCAGATTGCTGGGTGAATGTCAAACATCTTAGCAGCCTTACAAATCTGTGGTCGCTGTTTTGAGTGTGATGCAGGAGTATTCAGCGGACATGACATTGGTGAAGTAATATCAGTCGGTTTGTCCTTAGACAAAGATGCCAATAGTCCAGGTTGAGTAAAAGTTGTTGATTTTAGTGTGCCCTGTTGATTCCATTGCCAGTGTGTCTAAGTGCATGCATCTCTGCCTAAGGACAAACTTTTGCCTAAACAACTTTTACTCCAGGTGGAGTAAAAATTGTTGATTCACAGGATACATTCATTTTAAGACTTTCATTTGTTCACATTGAATCTGAAAAAGAGAAACTGATAAATTTCAACATTTAAAAGAACATGTCCCAGTGTCCAAGTCAAAAACACTAACAAAAATTTATTTAACCCCTTTATTATGTGTTTGTAAATTATTAAAGGTTAATTGTAGTTTATTTTTACAAGTTAAGTTATATATTTTTTACACAATTTATCATATATTTTGTAATATATTAAATAATTATATTAATTAGTTAATTTAACTTTTCACTTATTCTATGGAAAAAAAAGGTTTATTTTCTCTAAATAAGTGAAACTTGTTGGAGCTCCCCAGGAATCTCTAAATATTGTACTTTATAAAAATATGTATAATATATTGTATTATATAATTGTTTTATAGGACAAAATCCTCTGAATTAAGGAACAAACTTAAATAGCAAACAATTCAATAATAAATCATAAGTATATCATGTTAGATAATATATATCCTAAGACGCAAAGTCTTTATATGTTTTGAGCACTTAAAATTTTCAGTAAAAGAAAAAAAAAAAAAAAAAATTATGAAAAAATTCATTGCTGCCTTAACCCAAACCCTCAGTTAATGTAGCAGCAACTTGCATGTTCTCCCTAAATCAGTCTATATATTTACTTAAGCCACCATAGCTCCTTATTTCAGTATAACATCATTGCTATATATCTTCACTCGGTGTCTTCAATTTTAAATGATGGTCAGACCATAACCAGTGTATATACTTTGTAATCTTTTTTATAACTAAAAGTTTAAATTTTTGACTAAGTTTATAAGAACTCTCTGCACAATTATTTTCTAAAAACAAGCCTAGAAACATTTTAAATCTAATATGAGTTGGAAATGCACCCCTTTTTAATTTTCTCATTCAATAAGTCTTATGTAAAGA